GATGATGATGATGATGATGATGATGATGATGATGATGATGATGATGGTCCCACAGCCCCCTCCCAGCCCCCCCATGGGTGCCCACCCTGGATGAAGGCCAGGAGGATGATGATGATGATGATGATGATGATGATGATGATGGGTGCCCACCCTGGATGATGGCGAGGAGGATGACGATGACGAAGAAGAAGAAGGTGATGTCGAAGACGACTCGGTACAGCTCGTAATCATCCCCCGCCGGATCCTCGATCTCATCCCCGATGCCGCCCCCGGCCCGGACCCCCACGTACATGTGGAACAGGTAACACTGCAGGGACACAGGGCGGGGTCAGGGAACCTTCTAGAACCCCCCAAAAACCCAGCTGGGGCGGGGGGGAGGAAGACAGCCCCCCATCCCTCACCGTCATCATGTCGTCACACTTCATGTCGGGCTCATCCTCATCCTCGCTCTTGTTGTAGAACTTGCGGAAGAAGTTGAAGGCCACCACGGTGTACAGGTAGACCACCACGGCCAGCAGCCCCACCGTCATCACCAGCTGGGCCAACAGAGCCGTGAGGAGGGGGCTCGGGACCCCCGGAGCCCCCCCAGGAGAGCCCCCCGCACACCTGCTTGCCGTTGTGGGTGACGGAGGACAGGATGGTGCGCAGCGTCTTGACGCCCATGGCGATGTCCAGCAGGTGAGAGGCGAAGAAGAAGTTGTTGTAGTGGCCCAGCAGCGACATGGCCATGTACCAGGTGAGGTACAGGAAGGACTTGGGGAGGGGGACACACAGGTTAGGGGTCGCCCCATAGCCGGGCGGGGGTCCCACAGCCCCCCACACACCCCCACCCTACTCACGTTATCGGTGAAAATCACCCCGAATTTCCAGATCTGGTAGCGGATGTCGATGGATGTGATCCTGGTTGGGGGGGTCACGGGGTGGGGGGGGGTGTCAGAGTGTGCGGGAGCCCCCAGACCCATGAGTGCCCCCCCAGAGCCGTGAGATGTGTGAGTGCCCCCACCCGGAATCCCTGGCCCCCTCCCCAAAATCCGCCCCCCAGGGCGCACCAGGTGAGCAGGGAGCTGTCGGGGGGGGCCCTGCGCTCGCCCTGCGCCCCGATCTCCAGGCTGGCCAGGTCCATCCCCAGCAGCTCCGCGATCCTCTCCCGCCCGTAGATGTCCCCGTACTTCTCCATCACCTGCCGGCACCCCGAAACTCAGCGGGACCCCAAAAAACCGGGCTGGGAGACCCTCGGAATGTCGGGGGTCACCTCCAGATTGTGGGTAGGGGGTCCCGCCCCAGGACCCCTCCTCACCTTTCTCTTGATGAACTTGTCCCAGTAATTGCTGGGGAAGGATCTGGGGGGGTCAGGGGAGAAAGGGGGGGGGGGGGTCGGTGGTGGAAGCACCCCCCAAACCCGGCTGGTGCAGGGGGGGGACCCCACCGGACCCCCAGTGCCCCCCAAAACCTCTGCTGGGCCTCCTGCACCCCCAAACACCCCCCAAATCCCCCTCCCACAACTCCCCACTGCCCCTCACCGCCCTCCCGATGTCCACCCAGTGCCCTCCCAGTGCCCCCCCAGTTCCCCCCCAGTGTCCCCAGTTCCCTCCCAGTGCCCCCCAGTTCCCTCTCAGTGTCCCCCAGTGTCCCTCACTGCCCTCCCAGTGCCTCCCCAGTGTCCCCAGTGCCCCCCAGTTTCCCCCCAGTGTCCCCAGTTCCCTCCCAGAGCCCCCCAGTTCCCTCCCAGTTCCCCCCAGTGCCGTACTGGGCGTTGAGCACCAGCCGGTCCCACTGTCCCTTGACGTCATCGTCGGGCGGCTGCTCGGTGATGTAGAGCCCCGAGAACTCGAGGCGCCGCGCCACCTCCTTCTCCCGCTTGAAAATCACCAGGGGGATCTGGGGGGACACTTGGGGGTCACTCAGGGGTCACTCAGGGGTCACTCAGGGGTCACTCGGGTCACTTGGGTCACTCAGGATCACTCAGAGGTCACTCAGGGCTCACTCAGGATTACTTGGGTCACTTGGGTCAGTGGTCACTCAGATCACTAAGGGTCACTCAGTGGTCACTCAGGGCTCAGGGGTCCCTCAGGATCACTCAGTGGTCACTCAGAGGTCACTCAGGATCACTCAGTGGTCACTCAGGATCACTCAGGGCTCACTCAGGATCACTCAGTGGTCACTCAGAGATCACTCAGTGGTCACTCAGGGCTCACTCAGGATCACTCAAGGTCACTCAGGGGTCACTCTGGTCACTTAGGGCTCACTCGGGATCACTCAGGATCACTCAGGATCACTCAAGGTCACTCTGGTCACTCAGAGGTCACTCCGAGGTCACTCCGAGGTCACTCAGAGGTCACTCAGGATCACTCAAGGTCACTCAGTGGTCACTCGGAGGTCACTCAGGGCTCACTCAGGATCACTCAAGGTCACTCAGTGGTCACTCGGAGGTCACTCAGGATCACTCAGTGGTCACTCGGAGGTCACTCGGCTCACTCAGGATCACTCAGTGGTCACTCAGTGGTCACTCGGAGGTCACTCAGGGCTCACTCAGGATCACTCAGTGGTCACTCAAGGTCACTCAGAGGTCACTCAGGGGTCACCTTGAGGCAGTTGTAGCCGATGATGCACAGGAAGGCCACCAGGGTGTGGGCCAGCGCCAGCCCCCGCAGGGCCGGGCCCATGTAGCCCGTGCTCTCCTCCAGGAAATAATAAACCTCGGGCTCCTCGGGGCCCCCCGCCTCGGGACCCCCGCCCGCAGACCCCTCCTCATCGGGCACCGCGCCCCCCGAGCCCTCGGGCTCCTCTGCAGCGCCCGGGGGGTGCTCCGACACCTGCGGGGAGGGGACACGCTCGGGGACCCCCCAGGGGACACGGGGAGTGACCCCAGAGTGTCCCCAAACCCCCCTGGGGTCCCCAAAGTGTCCCCAAACCCCCCTGGGGTCCCCAAAGTCTCCCCAAACCCCCTGAGGGGTCCCCAGAGTGTCCCCAAACCCCCCTGGGGTCCCCAAAGTGTCCCCAAAACCCCCTGGGGTCCCCAGAGTGTCCCCAAACCCCCCTGGGGTCCCCAGAGTGTCCCCAAACCCCCTGAGGGGTCCCCAGAGTGTCCCCAAACCCCCCGAGAGAACACGGGGAGTGACCCCAAAGTGTCCCCAAACCCCCCTGGGTGGGCAGCCCCACGGCCCCCCAAACCCCATCCTGGGCCCCCCAAACCCCTCCCAGGGCCCCCAGACCCCTCCCCGGCCCCCCAAAC